ATACAAACGTTTGTTTTATTTCTTGTAGCGACAAATATATACATATTAATATGAACAAGTTGATTGTTGGTTTTACCATACCACAGAGTACAGATATACAGAGGCGGAACTCGAGGCAAATCATGTCCCCACTTTTTTACTGCGCATGCGCGACCCTCTGGCAAGTGTCATACACATTTTTTATCAGGAAAAAGATAGGGAAATGCAAAATTTTGGCAGTAAAACGGCGATTTTAAGCGCAGTAACCGATCAATCTTCATTTTCTGCACGAATTTTGCAAATAAATGGCACACTGCGTCTTCTTAGCGAAAGGGAATTGAACGAATACCATTTTTAACGGCGAAAATGAGAAAAGACACCCAAAGGAGTGAGAATTTCTGGCAATATCTGAATCCGAAGATTCGATTCTGTAGACCTGAACTCCAGCTGGAACTTGGCAACTTTATATGCGAGTTTTTTTTCTCTAGCTCATATATATGAAATTATCAATATATTTTTGTGAAGTGCAATGTTGTATGAAAGGGTTGTCGTTAATTTAAACATTGCATAAACAGCATTCAGATACGAAAAATATGAACATCAACATTCAACATGGACTGATGGACTTGGACATGGAGCCACAGTACTCTAAAGTACTCATATAGACTTTATTTAACTTATATGTTGACCCAATGGTGGGGGATTGGTCAAATTATACTTTATAGTGATTCCCCTAGATTAGTGCATTGGTTATTGTGCAGTGACAACCTTTTTTTTGGCTCTCAAAGGTCAATAATTTCTTAAACATGCCAAGTCTGTAAATGTTTAATAATCTAATCTGTTTATTTACTTTATTTTTTATTTTGCTTTTCTAGATTGCCAATCATTCGTGTTGAACTACATTGTTCATTACAATGAATCAGATGCAGAATCTTACAACTATGTTAATTTGTTCACCTGATTGGGGAAAACCTGAGACTATTTGATCTTATATTGGAATGCCTACCAATTTTACATAGCCTCAGGCAATGTTTATATAATTAATCTTGAGTAATAGAGATGCTGTACCCCCTGACGGAGTGACCTTACTACCTGGATCATCTCACTAGGCAAGACAAGTTCAAAACTTTCCATGCAAACACTTGCATGGCAGTTGCTATAATAGGATATGAATATAGTTTTGCCTTGCCAGGGTGGCTCGGGGGGTAGGATTTCCCTAGTACCCGGAGACCATATAAACAGGCCGTCAGATTACTGTAATAGTTTAATTGAGGTTCAAAAAAGCAGCCCTCCCCAAAGTGGTAGGCCTGCTCCCCAAATCCAGCCCCCCTTGGAAGATGTACTGTAAAGCTAGACAATTTTACATGTTAACCCAACTTTATTATTCTGTCTAACACCGGGCGATCCAGTTAACCCATTGAGTTGCATTGCATGTGCCCTGATGCACCCTACTTTATTATTTTACTCTGTCTAACGCCAGACGATTTTACTCGTCAAGGGGTGAGCACACTTTAACAGGCAAAGTATTAATTGGGAATACTTTCTCTTTTAATGGGAAACTCTTTATCAATAAAAGGAACAATGCAATTATTTATAGTATTTAACATTTCATATAAAGCAAAGACTGTAAGAGGAAACATGGATCATTGGCTACTTTTTTTATTTAGTATTAATTTTCATGACAGCATGTGGGGTCAACTATAAAGGAAACAGTTATTTCCTATTTTGAAATAAAAAATTTAGAATATAGCAATATTCATTGACATTGAACACATATTTAATTTCTTTAGTTTTTGAATAATTTAAGTTCTTAAATGTATATAAATGTGAAATAAAATAAACAACATTTATTAAAATAAACTTTGTATTTTTAAACCCCAATTACACTGTTGTATTTACTTTCACTGTAGCATTTACACTGTCAGTAGTATTTACACTGTCAGTAGTAATTACACTGTAGTATTTACATTTCAAGACCTTAGCCAACATCATTCCCTGGAGTTTCTCATGACAAGATGTCTCAACCAAGATCCTCTGGAGAACTTCTTTGGCCTCATTAGGCAGGGGGGGGGGGATTGTGACAACCCATTAGTCCCATCCAGTTCACCAGAGCATTTTGCATATTATTTGTAGATAATATTTTGATACCACTTTCAATTGGCAGCTGTGGTGAAGATTCTGATGCCTATTTGATTGCATTTCACCCTAGCCAATCTGATTTATCTACAGGAAATGATCAGACAAGCCCACCACTAATCCAAGCAGTTGAAGATACCGACTACAAAACAAATGAAATTGAACAAAACTTAGTCTGCATGAACTTATGTGTCAAGCTATTTATTAAGGAAGTGCCTTATCCAACATAGCTGTCCAATATGCCATCATAATTTTGTGACAAAGGATGTCAATGACAGTAGTGTCTGCTATTCTGCATGTGCAAGACCTCTGACCTTTGAAGGCATAAGCATGCCTTCAAATGCGGATTAACAATCCGTAAAGAAACGTTTCTTTGCTGGAGAATACATTTGTGAATGTGGTTATTAGTTGCACAGAAAGTATTAAAAACGTAGGTAGTTTAACTTTTAATTTTTGCTCACAAATCCCAAAGCTACATGCATGGAACCTGATGGACGTGTTTCAAATCACCAAATCACCAGATGGACGTGTTTCAAATCACAAACGCCTCGAACAGCTCGACATCATTGAAGCCGTTGACGGGCCAACGCCATGGGTAAGTCCCATTGTGGTGGTACCCAAGACATCAGGTGAAATACGTATATGTGTCGACATGCGTGAAGCCAACAAGGCAATCGGAAGAGAAAAGCACCTCGTGCCAACCTTAGATGACCTCATCGCTGACTTGAACAGGGCGGCCGTTTTTAGCACCCTTGATCTTGCTTCCGGTTACCATCAGCTAACCCTAGGCCCAGAAAGTCGTCACATCACCACCTTTAGCACCCACGTTGGGCTACGTCGATACAAGCGCCTGATGTTTGGTATCAACGCTGCATCCGAGATATTCCAGAACGCCATCGCTGAACTGCTTGCTGGACTACCTGGATGCAAGAATATCCCTGATGATATTATTGTGTACGGAAAAGACCAACTCGAACATGATCTTATCCTCCAAGCTGTCCTTCAACGCCTCTCGGATTACAACGTGCGCTTAAACAAGAACAAATGCCACTTTTCTCAGTCCCAAGTGTGTTTCTATGGTCATATCTTCAGCGCCAAAGGAGTCCAAGCCGATCCTGCGAAAATCGACTCCATCCAACAAGCCCGCGCTCCTCAAAACGTCAGTGAAGTTAAGTCTCTACTTGGTTTGTCCCAATACATCTCTCGATTTATCCCCGACTACTCTACCATCACTGCTCCACTACGTGCTCTCACTCGAACTGACGCCGAGTGGAAATGGACGACCGACGAACAAACGTCCCTCAACAACCTGAAAGCAGCGCTAACGGGACAGAACGTAATGCCCTACTTTGATCAAAACAAGCCAACCGAAATCATCGTTGATGCCAGCCCTGTCGGTCTCGCTGCCCTTCTCGTTCAAGCTGAAAAAGTCATCAGCTACGCCAGTCGCGCTTTATCTGACGTCGAAAGTCGTTACTCGCAGACGGAACGCGAAATGTTAGCCGTCGTTTGGGGAGTTGAACACTTTCATCTTTACATCTACGGTTCACATTTTCAGATCATCACGGATCATAAGGCTCTTCTCGGCATCTTCAAGACCCAGAAACCTGCAACACCGCGCATGGATCGATGGGAACTCCGCCTCATGCCTTATAATTGTCAGTTACAATATCGCCCTGGGAAAGACAACCCTGCTGACTTCATGAGCCGCCATCCCAAACCAGTGAATTTCATAAACGAAACTGAGAACTTAGCTGAACTTTACGCAAATTATGTTTGCTCGAATGCCATTCCCAAAGCCATGACTCGTGAAGAAGTCAAACTTGAAACCAAGCTGGACCCTCTCCTCAACAACTGGAACGATCCAACTGTCGACCGCTACCGCCGTTTCCAAGACGAATTGATGGTCTGTGACGTAGTTATCCTCCGTGGAAACCGTATTGTTCTCCCACAGTCCCTGCACAATCGAGCCATCGAGTTAGCCCACCTTGGCCATCAAGGCATTGTTAAAACAAAGCAACTCCTACGCGAAAAAGTCTGGTTTCCAGACATTGACAAAATGGTTGAAGCCAACGTCAAGATGTGTTTGCCCTGTCAAGCCTCTACCTAAGGAACGTCTTCACCTCCAGAACCATTGAAACCCTCCCCGCTCCCAGAGAAAGCTTGGACCAATGTAGCAGTTGATTTCGTTGGACCATTTCCCACAGGCGAATACCTGATAGTCGTGATTGATGAATACAGTCGATACTCGGAAGTCGAAATTCTCACCACAACATCCGCGAAAGCCGCAATTCCAAAGCTTGATGCCATATTCCCCAGACAAGGCATCCCTGAGATTCTCAAGTCAGATAATGGCCCTCCATTTAATGGTGAAGAGTTTGAGAACTTTGCCAACCACTTCGGTTTTAAGCACCGTAAGATAACCCCATACTGGCCAAGAGCCAACGGCCAAGCTGAACGCTTCATGAAAACTATTGAGAAAGCAATTCGAGCTGCCACAGTTGAAGGTCGGAACTGGAAACAAGCCATGTATACCTTCCTTCGACAGTATCGTGCCACACCACATAGCACCATCTCCGTATCCCCTAGCGAAGCACTAACTAACCGAAAGCTAAAAACTCGCCTTCCAGATTCCCCATCAACACCAAGCAACTCCGAAAAAAATGAGGAGATACGTAGTCGAGACGAAAAGAACAAATCAACCATGAAATCATACAGCGACAAATTAAATCGTGCCAAGCCAAACAACATCACCCTCGGTGACACTGTCCTCCTACGACAACCGAAATTGAGCCCTTCCGCGTTGTAGCAGTTAAGAACTCGATGATCACCGCAAGAAACAAGCTCAGAACAGTAACGCGCAATTCCTCCTTCTTTAAGAAAATACCCCCATCTCCCTGTTCATATCGAAACCTCCGACGACGAAGACAACCCACCTAAAACAACCACCCAACCTTCACAACCGCCTTCGCCACCACTGAGGAGATCCTCTCGACAACCAAGACAGCCGGAACGCTATGGTTGTGCAAACGCAACAATATATACATTTTGAAACGTGGCACCATTTTGGTTTATTGACAACTACGAACTGATAATCGTTAACTAATATTTTAGATTTAAAAGAAAAAACATTTTATAAAGAAGGGGAGGGATGTAGTGTCCTTAGATACAGTATCCTATTGCATCTCAAACTAATTACCTTATGCTTGTATATAATAGTTATTTCTTAATATCACATTAATATAGCACGCAAGTGCGTGCGTGCACGTTCTACGGATGTAATTCGTTCATATCTTTGGTTCAGTGCACGCTATGTAAATGAAAATACTACCATTCGATTCAGTATAAAAATATACACTAATTTATAACGATAGTTTTAGTCAGTGGCTAAATTGTAGCGACTTATGAGCTTTGAAAGTCAAGCGAGCTTGGTATTTGATCAAATTACACAATATTACTAACAAATTATAAACATAGACATACCTTTCGCCGAACATAACTTCGTCCCCTTGAGACGTATGCTCATTCTGGTAGTCTTGCTGAATGAAGCAGTTAAAAATAACATGTATACTGTTATTTTCAAGCTTCTATCTTTAAAATACGAGTTTTCTTGCCGAATTTTGCATTTCTGCCCAGAATTTGCGTTAATCCCAACCGGAAATACAACGAAAAACCGTCAAAACAATGCGTAGTTTGTATCGCGTGACTCTGGAAATGCCAGAAATGGATTCTACAGGTCAAAGTGCACCCATACGCGTGGGTTTGACGTCATCCCGGCTAAAGGGAGCTCCTTATTGGCCAAGTATTACGTAATACAAGCGCGTGCGAGTAAAACCCGATACCTTGAAAAATTCAAAATAAATATTTCTACTCGCCGTATTCATACGAAACTTTCTACACTAAAGCGCTTGAATACAAAGAGTATTTTGCACATATATCCTTTCAGAAAATTCCAGAATACACTGGTTGTTGCAATTGTATAATGGGAGGTTTTTTAGTGAGAGATTTTGCGAAATTAGGATAGGAAACTATTGTGTTAAGGATTATCTCGGGGGCAATTCTCAACAAGATTTCATACGAACAATCACAAAATCCGCTTACTTCTAGATATCGTATTACAACACAGCATAACACCCGACCATGCAATCCCAAAATTTCCAGATTCTGTCGCTAGTAATACATCAATTAAATATTGCCCGATACTTTATAGCTTTAACTATGGTTATACACAGTTTATTTAAGCAGCCAAACCGTTTTTTATGTCTTATTACCGCCGTCAATAAGCACACGTTAAGCAGGTTTTAAAGCTTACTTAGTAGGCCTACCAGACTATGAACTAAAATATAAATATATTATAAATCTCCTAACCTTATCGCTGTGCATTTCTATTGTGGTGGACGAGCACCGAATTGAAATCTCTAGCGAGACTGGTTCTGGTGATATAGCTGTGGATAAACTTGGTATGAATAGCGGCTAAAAGCTCTTCGATATATCGATCTTGTATTGAAGTATTGATATCCTTTAAAAGATCTGTGACCATTTCTAGACTGGACAATCTCGTATAAACTTTATATTGCGGGAACCACTGAGTATTTTTATATACATTTTACATTGTCGTCGTACTCGTACGTCAATTTAATCTTCGCGGTGAATAAACTTTCCGAATGAGTCAGATGAGGCAAAAAAATATGAGCCAATGAGAGAAGCGAATTTGGTCTTTTTCGACCAATCAGAACTTCAAATATTGCGCAATAAGGCAGACCCCCACGAAGATGAGGCAAAAAAGTTGAACCAATGAGAGAGGAGGATTCTCCTTCAATCAGCCAATCAGATATCTCATAGATGACGTAAATAAGGCAGACCCCCACGAAGATGAGGCAAAACCATTCTCGACCAATGAAATGGCTAGAACCTGCCTCAAGTAAGTCAAGGCCACTGAACTTACAACCGCTGAATGAAACTTGATAACTGGACTATTGTGAATATTAATTACATTTGCTATCACTGCAGGAAGGATTACAACTGGAGAACTGGACAATTTTATGAATCAGTACTAGTATTTATCTGGGCAATTTTTACGTCAGTCGCGCGACTTATTTGACAACCCCTAGATCCGCCCCTGAGTTGTTTCTGGTCAATGGACACGCCAAAAAAATGGCTTTGAAATAACGCAGGAGCGAACTACCTTTTTTAATGAGAAAAGTAAAAAAAAACACCTCATCAAATTCAGGAAGACTTGCTCTTTCTGTTGGTTCTTTAAAACGCTAAATCGCTCCTCCAAATCGACAAGCAATCGCGGTTTGAAAATGGGGTATTTTTGCTATATTTTAATGCCGATGGCGGGAATAGACCGGGTGTTGATCCTTATGGCGCGAAGGAAACTATTTTCTATGATATCTTTGAAACATACGCATGTAGTTGTTTAATACATATTTTGAGTGTAATGTTACCTTTAAAATTAAGGTCAGAATGTTAGTTTACTGTATTGACTGTATTTTTGTCATTTTGTTATAGAATTCGGACATGAAATCATGCAGATAGTAGCGATGTTGTCATTGTTGACGAATGAAATGATACTGCCATATTAAAAGCGAGTATATACGAGGGTATATACGTCTAAAGGTGATACCCCAAGGAAACCTATTAATTAATAAGAGACACAGAATTTCTCGTTTGAAGAATTCAACATCAAGTCGAACTTTGTTTCAGAGTCCTGGAACATCACCAAAGGTATAAAAGTACAAAGGTTTTTACAAACATAAAATACAGAACGACTGTACAAAAACATTGTATTTTAAACCCTTTAAGAACGCTTAATTGTTGGTATGAATATAATCTATGCTACCCAGAAACGAGCGTTGTTATTACACTACGCTGGCCCAGATGTTGACGATATTTTTGAAACACTACCCGACACGGGTGAAGACAAAGATTATAAAAAAGCCGTAGAATGTTTAAACACGTATTTCGTTCCGAAAGTCAACATGGTCTACGGGGAATATCAATTTCATCAGGCGAAACAGCGCTCGAATGAAAACCTAGCTTCGTATCATACCCGGCTTAGACAGCTTGCCAAACACTGCGGTTTTGCTGACGTTGACAAAGAAATTCGCACACAAATTGTCTTCAGCTGTACCTCTCACAAGCTTAGACTACGTGCCCTTCGCGAGGACCTCAGTCTTACAGCCCTTCTCGAAGCCGGTCGTGTAGCTGAGATCACAGATCGACAAGCCAGAGACATTCAACCTACCAGTACTGACCAAAGCGTCAATGCCCTTCCCTCACGTAGCAAACCATATCCTGTCCACCCGGATCAACATGATCCGCCCCACACTCCCAACAATCAACGAACACACACTCATTCCCTCTGTCGAAATTGCGGCGGACCGTTTCCTCATGCTATTTCCTACCCTGCCAACGGGAAAACGTGTCGTTCTTGTGGCAAAAATGGACATTTTGCCAAAGTTTGTCGCTCAAGACGCCAGCAGCGCCCTCGTTTTGTCCAACAAATAGCTGATGATCCTGAGCAAGACCCTGCCTATACTTTTGTTATTCACTCCGAGCAGACAGTCCTCAACACCTCCTGGCCATTCAGTGCGCCCCTCCGCCACTCTCCATCTTGCATCGTTAACATTGATGGCCAGCCCATCTTTGTACTTGTCGATTCTGGTGCTTCTGCAAACCTGCTTGATGAAACGACCTACAATTCCATCACCCATAACACGCGACTCTCTGCCATGTTAAACCCTCCCACCACCAAAATATACTCCTATGGCTCCACCACTCCTTTACCTCTACTCGGAAGTTGGTCCACCTCTGTTCGTTATAAGTCCACAACCGTTAATGCTACGTTCCACGTCACAAAAGGCAACAGTGGCAATCTTCTCAGTTGCACTACCGCCCAACAACTCAACCTATTAACCCTTAACGTTAATTCCACCATGTCTGGTCAAACCATCCTCCATGCCTTCCCTCATCTGTTTGACGGCATTGGCCAGGTTAAAGGAAAAGAAATCAAGCTCCATATCTCAAACACTGTAACCCCAAAGCAACAGCCACAAAGCCGCAGTCATTTCCACGTACGCAAAGACGTTGAGCAATGACGCCAAATTTTAGAATATATTCAACTTTTTCTCTTTTTCCCGTTTGAATGTTTGGCGAAGCCGTGAGTATAAATATATGATTGTTTCGGTCTGTGTAATGTTTTGACGGCACTTGACCCCCCGTTCGAAAGGTTATATTGTGAGGATTTCAATGGTGGCATTTATTTAATAGGGGGGTAAATACTCGCCGATATATTTATATTAGAAAAATTGTATCGAAATGTAATACGAAACCGGTTGTCGAGAAAGAGTTGAAAAGCAAAGCGTCTAAAACAAATATAACTTAAAATACTCTCGCTTTTAAAAACTCATTCAGTTGGTAAAGACAGCAACAAACAAATAAATTCCCAAATAAAACTCATTATCCGACTACGAGATCTCATACTCAAACAGCAGGTCGAGCCCGTCGACTATACAATTGCAATTTGCCAAAAGTTGGCGGGAAATATCTCGTACTCGTATTCGAAACTAAACCTCCCGATATTATATCGGACAACTACTGAATATAAGCTATTCTGCATTCTGATTGGCTCTCTATACTTGCAGGATATTACAGTTTATTATAACACAAGGTCTGGATATGAGGTATTCTGCATTCTGATTGGTTCTCTACTAGCAGGATATTAGCTCATATCCTGCTAGTAGAGAAAAACAAAATGGCGGCCAAACTGAATTTACGATGTTTTGCAAACGAGAAAACGGCAAGTTGTCGCTTTTTATAGCCTTCACAGGATTAGAAACACAATGAAAAAACTCCCAAACAATTGTTTTCAGGTTAGCAAATAAATTTTTAATATTTAAAATGGTTAAAAACTATTTTTGAAAAAATAATCGGCCGAAAGAGCGAAGATAAAAACATAAACAAAATAGAAAAATATTGAAAATATTCGAAAAGCAAAGTCTGTGATTCAGACCTTGTGTATATAATAAAACAGTTATTCCACTCACTCTCGTCGAATATGAGCGATAGCCGATTCGGCGCTGCGCGCCTCATCGGCTATCAGCTCATATTCGACTCGAGTTCGTAGAATAACTGTTAAATATTATAAATATATCTTATTGGATTCTTCTGAGCCCAAAATGGCAAAATATTAAGTCGAGACTGCAGTATTGGGCGAGACCATAGATATCTTATATACACTAGATAGTGCATCTAATTATTCTGAAGTTCAAAAATTGAAGCCGTGATTGCAGTCTCAGGTCGTTCCCATGAAATTAGAAGATTCGTATGTTTTCTACTTCTTAAACAGGGAACTTAAACATTAAGTTAACCCTATTCCAAATTCGTTTTTAAAATATTCAAATGATGAAAATTATTGTTGTTTTTAAGCGTTTATTAGCAAGTGGGAACGACCAACATGGCCGCCATCTATTCAAATGGGGGTAACCGCTGGAATATTGTTGGCTTCAATTTTACTAAAAGAGATGCGCTATCTAGTGTATATAAGATATCTATGGGCGAGACCGAAGCAGGGCCGTAGGAAGCTCTTTTCGATTGGGGGGGCTGAAAGCGAGGGCCGAAGGCCCGAGGAAATTTTTAAATTTAGAGTCTCTAAAATGCCATTTCCTGGACTTTGGGGGAAGATTTAACAGAATTCTGATAGTTAGAAAACAGCGTTTTAGTATGTCGAAATTTACAGGAAAGTATGGGCCAGACTGTAGTATTATAAATGCGCGGCGGGAATTTTCGTCGTAAATGGCAGTTGCGCGGAAATGAAGGCAGAACATTTGAGAAAATTGCGAAAATCTGGAGTCTCTAGATGGTCTGAAATGGCATTTTCAGAGTTTTCTTTCGCAAGACCCAACACGCAAAAGACAAAATAAATCATTAGTTCATCAAAAATGCGCAGATTTTGTGGGATTTTCTTGAAAATGCGCGACAGAAATTCAGCTAAAATTTCTACGCGAGGAACGATCTGGAGTATGAGTAATATCTTCATTCTTTGCAGTTTGTCACAGATTAAATGATAAAGTTTGCATGATTTTGAAAAAAGAATGATTATTAGCAAATTATTGGGGGGGCTGCAGCCCCCCAGCCCCCCCGGTTGCTACGGCCCTGCGAAGATCGAGCCTAATATTGAAGTCGAGACTTAATATTTAACAATTATTCACCGAAGGTGAGGTGATTATCGGGGAATATTCGCCGAGACGAAGTCGAGGTGAATATTCCGCGATAATCACCGAGCCTTCGGCGAATAATTATTTTAGTATTTTTCACAAGCTTTTTTGTGCTTTTCTGGTCTGAATTCATTTCATTTTCTTTATCACTAACTTCAACAAAACGGCTAGCCGCCATTTTGAAAATTTCGATTTTGTTACATTCACCTGTAGGTGAATATCACAGATTAATACGTCAAATTTGACCAATCACCTTGTAGGATTTGTTATGTTCACTTGTGCAAAAATACTAATTTGCCATATTGGGCGAAGATGTATCCAATAGGTGTTTTATTATATCGAACAAATCTAAACAATTCTATAGTATAACAAAAAGTTGGCTATACTGCATGAGCGATAATAGATAGCTTAAGATCTACGACGTCGACGTCAGCTAGGACGTCAGGGCTAAGCAGAGGACTGGGACTAAGACGTCGTCCTAAATAAATAAACTTCCACTTAAAGGTGATCTACAGTCCGATCTGCGCATGTGCACAAATGTGCCCACTTTTTATGATACAAACAGTTTAACTATGTTTTGAGTTCTTGAAAAGCCTAATTGTTGTTTCTTGATCATTTATTATACTATAGAAGCTTGAAAATATAAATAGTTGTCGAATAAAGCTCAATATTTTGGACACAAAAATGTAAACAAAGGCTTTGTTTACATACGGACTGTATAGATCACCTTTAAGATTCACGACGTCGACATTTAAACTATAAATATTTATATCCCTTTGAAAATGAATTTAAAAGAGACGTGTGAATCAAATACTTACCGTTTGTTATGCTCTTGTATTTACGACGGTAAAACTCTTGTTGTGAGGTTGTCGACGTTTGGTGGACGACGAGTAAATTGAGAGAGACACATGCACACTTAAAAAACTATTACCAATTTACTTCCGCTTGCCGCCCTAAATATTTGATGTCGTAGATACTTGAGGTATCGACTTATTTAGGACGACGTCCTAGTCCCAGTCCTCTGCTTAGCCCTGACGTCCTAGCTGACGTCGACGTCGTAGATCTTAAGCTATCTAATAACACAGCGATAACATTATCACACATCGGCGGCGAATTTGCTTAAATATAAACTAAACAAAAAAGTTTATTTTTAAAAACACGTTTGCATGAAAAACTCAATTCCATGTATGTTTAAAGGTAATTTGACCTAATTTAAGGAAAAATCATATATTACTAATCTCCCGACTATGGTAAACAAATGAATTTCGCGAAGACAAGTTTTCCCGCGCTTTTTAAATTTTAAACAAAACTGGTCGAAAAAACAGTCATAATGTCCCAAATTCTTTTCATTAGTTTGCGATATCGTTTGTTGCAATTGTGTGTTTAAAATTAATGTCTAAACATCCGAAAAAGTTTGATAAGCCAGGAAAAATGCCACGATAAGTTACTGTCCAATATGAACTGTCCTGCATCGTAAATATCAGGCATGCACGTGACGCTATATTGAAGATATTTGATTGGTCAATGGCATGTGAGCGTATAATAATAGCTCATATCCTGCTACACACGTAAAAACACACAAGTTGTTACAAGTCTACAAACAAGTTTTTACGAATCTGTTCACAAGCTGTCGACAAGTTGTGTTCGCACTTCTTGTTCCCCGCAGTTGTTGTTTGGAACAAGCTGTTAACCACTTGTAACAAGTTTGATGGCATAATCAGACTTGACACAAGGTTGCTCTAACAAGTCTGATGCAGTCATGATATAACAAGAATGTTACAAGGTTGATGACACAAGGTTGTAACAATATTGTTATATCATGACTCATGACATAACAATATTCATGACTGTATCGGACTTGTTGGAACAACCTTGCAAGAAGTACGATAATATCAACAAGGTTGTTACAAGTTGTTAACAGCTTGTTCGAAACTTGTTGACAACTTGGGACAAGTAGTGCGAACACAACTTGTTTACGGCTTGTTGGCAGACTTGTTACAAGATGTGAAATTTTTACGCGTGTATAAGAGAAAACAAGATGGCGGATCAAGAATTACTGGAGTTCTGCGAACGAGAACTAACAGCTGCAATGTTACTCGCTTTTTATACTGAGCCTAACGGAATAAAAACACAATGAAAAAAATTGTTTACAGCAATTGTTTACAGGTTAGCAAATATATATATTTTTACTTAGACTGGTTAAAAATATAATTTTGAAAAACATAATACCGAGAGAGCGAAAATAAAAACATGAACAACACTGAATTAATTTTTAAAACAACAGTTATTCTACTCCTGCCACTCTCATCGTATATGACTGAAACTGTGATAGCCGCCAACTCGGTGCTACGCACCTCGTCGGACATCATGCAGCTCATGCATATACAGTATGACTCAAGTTCGCAGAATAACTGTTCAATATACGGCGAGTATAGCGAAAAACAAGATACTACGCTGTAGAGCTTTGCGAACCAGAAAATAAAGAAAAAAGTTTTGACACGTTAGCAAATACATTCATTATATAGAAATGGGTTTCTACACAAGTTTATTTAAATAATTATACAAAAGAGTTCTTCGTAATCTAGATTCACGAAAGGCGCGTGGTCCAGATAACATTCCGAGTAGATTTAATTGCTGACCGAACTTGCCGAAGTTATTGCACCCTCACTATGTGAAATATTTAACATGTCTTTGCCTCTTGGGGTGGTACTTCATCACACCTGTATTCAAACGGGATAATCCAACATTGCCAATGAACTATAATAGACCTAAATATTTCTCTTACTACTTTGTATTCTGCCCAAGGTTCCGGAACGTTAATTGTATTCACAATCATTGCTATCAGTATCGTGAGCCACACACTTTAATAATCTACAACCACACGTCGGCTACTTGAAGTATATACCACGACATTCTGGAATCTGTGGCAAGTGGAAATGAAGTTGATGCCATATACCTTGACATATCAAAAGCCTTCGACAAGGTTCCGCATCATCTACTTGAAAGTAAACTTGAAAATTTGGGAATAACGGGACCTCTATACTATCTTGATTCCAAAGTTACCTCGCAGACAGACAGCAAAGAGTTGTTCTCCATGGTATTTACTCCGATTGACTTACTGTTACATCAGGTTTGCCACAAGGTTCAATACTCTGACCTTTATTATTTCTGGTCTATTGTAATGACATTCAAACTTACATGAAAAAAATCTACACTCGCGTTGCT